CCCCCGAAACCGCAGGCGCCACACGCTGAGCCGCCGCCGCATCATCCCCCTGCCCCAGTGGAAAACCAACCCCGAGACCGACCCCGAGGCGCTCTTCCACAAGGAGCAGCTGGTGCTGGCCCTCTACCCCCAGACCACCTGCTTCTACCGCGCCCTCATCCACGCCCCGCCCCAGCGCGTGAGTCCCCGACACCAAAATCCCCGATTTTGGGGGAAAAAACCCCGAAAAAATCGGAGATTTTGGGCAAAAACCGCGAGAAAAATGAGAAGTTTAGGAGGGAAATAGGTGCGGCCACTAGGGGGCGCTGGGTTGCTAGGGGGCGTGGCTTGTTGCTAGGGAAGCCATTGCCATATATGGGGTTGCTAAGGGGCGTGGCTTGTTGCTAGGGACGCCATTGCCATATAAGGGCGTTGCCAAGGGGCGTGGCTTGTTGCTAGGGAAGCCAATGCCATATGAGGGCGTTGCTAAGGGGCGTGGCTTGTTGCTAGGGAAGCCATTGCCGTATGAGGGCGTTGCCAAGGGGCGTGGCTTGTTGCTAGGGAAGCCATTGCCATATGAGGGCGTTGCCAAGGGGCGTGGCTTGTTGCTAGGGAAGCCATTGCCATATTAGTGTGTTGCTAAGGGGCGTGGCTTGTTGCTAAGGAAGCCATTGCCATATTAGTGTGTTGCCAAGGGGCGTGGCTTGTTGCTAAGAAAGCCATTGCCATATTAGTGTGTTGCTAAGGGGCGTGGCTTGTTGCTAAGGAAGCCATTGCCCTATTAAGGGGCGTGGCTTGTTGCTAGGGCACCCATTGCCATATAAGGGCATTGCTAAGGGGCGTGGCTTGTTGCTAGGGAAGCCATTGCAATATAAGAGCGTTGCTAAGGGTCGTGGCTTGTTGCTAGGGAAGCCATTGCCATATAAGGGCGTTGCTAAGGGGCGTGGCTTGTTGCTGGGGAAGCCATTGCCATATAAGGCCGTTGCTAAGGGGCGTGGCTTGTTGCTAGGGACGCCATTGCAATATAAGGGAGTTGTCAAGGGGCGTGGCTTGTTGCTAGGGAAGCCATTGCCATATTAGGGGCGTTGCTAAGGGGCGTGGCTTGTTGCTAAGGAAGCCATTGCCCTATTAAGGGGCGTGGCTGGTTGCTAGGGAAGCCATTGCCATACAAGGCCATTGCCAAGGGGCGTGGCTTGTTGCTAGGGAAGCCATTGCCATATAAGAGCGTTGCTAAGGGGCGTGGCTTGTTGCTAAGGGGCGTGGCTTGTTGCTAGGGAAGCCATTGCCATATAAGGGCGTTGCTAAGGGGCGTGGCTTGTTGCTAAGGAAGCCATTGCCCTATTAAGGGGCGTGGCTTGTTGCTAGGGAAGCCATTGCCATACAAGGGTGTTGCTAAGGGGCGTGGCTTGTTGCTAGGGAAGCCATTGCCATATTAGTGTGTTGCTAAGGGGCGTGGCTTGTTGCTAGGGAAGCCATTGCCATA